TTGTTGTTATTATTATTAGCATTTTAAATGTATCAAAAATTTATTATTGTTGTTGTTAAAGAAGTGATATATGAATCAAATCCACATTTGCGACTAGTGTTCCCACCTTGATTTAGTATTACCTCCGTTTTAAATATAAGGCATTTTACAAAATATTGGTCATCAAGTTGTTTCTAATGTTAGGCAAGTGATATGCTCTTAAATTCCATAAAATATCTTACATATTGAAACATAAGACTTTTCAAAAAATGCCAACATGTAGTAGATTATAGTTACTTTGAAGGGAAATTACTAATTAATATGACATTTAGATTTAAAAGTTCTCCTATTCTGCAATATTAAAATTGATCCCCTGCAATAATATGCGTGGCCATATACGTACAGAACAAACTTGACATCCAAGAAGTGAAAAAAAACATACACAAGCATAGGCAATTGCGGAGGGAGGGGGAGACCAGCAGGCTGTGGCCTCCCAAATTTTTTAAATTTTTTTTGTATTATATAGATATTACATACTTCCAACCCCCTGAAAATTTATGAAAAATTTATAGTATATATGTTTTTTTAATATTGGATCCTCTTATTTTCAAATTCTAGCTCCACCCTACATAGGAGATCAGTATATTCTCTTCGGTGAGTATGAGTTAGCAGACTTGATAATAAATTTTGCTTTAAATTTTTTTATTAAAATATAAAAAATAAGTATAAAACATGTAATTTATTTTGGGAGAGAATGACAAACAAATCCCCTATTTATTACATTTTCTCTCTTTAATTTTTATATTAAATGAAGAGTTTTTCTGAACATTTATAATATTTTTTTTTGAAAAATAAGTATTAAAGTATATTTAAAGAATTTTACTGAATATATAATATTTTAATGAATTTAATTTTAACTAGAAGTGTTTTATAAACTTAGAAGGGGGGTGAAGCACTATCAGTCGAATCCGGATATGGATTCTCTCAATGGCCAAATTCTTAGCTTCCCTCAGCAGTCGGATTTGGTACATTCAAATAGCCAAAATATGATCAATACACACACATCACATTACTATTAAAAGTACATGTGAATAATTTATTTTAAATAGTAAAAAAAAATATTTTGAAATGTCATGTATAAGTAAAAATAAATCATGCTTAAGCCATATTTTGAATAAACAAGCTAGCCTATTTATAGAAATAAGCCTAATTATAAATTTAAGGATGGCTTTTTTGTCAGACAAACCAAACCAAAATTTAAACAAGACTGGTTGTATGTCTCTGCAAGCCTATTTACTTATTTTAATATAATTAAATAAAAAAACTATGCTTAATTTTATAATTAAACTTATTTATATAAATAGGTTAAGCATATTTACTCAAAATCTGGCTTAAACTTGACCTAGTAATTATAGCAATACATGATATTTAAAATATATTGTTTATTATTTAAAAATAAATTGTTTACACGTATTTTCAATAACAATACGATTTATGTATTGATCATATTTTAACCATTTGAATGGACCAGATTTGGCCGATGAGGGACGCTGAGAATTTCCCTGCTGAGAGGATCTGGTTCCCTCACTGGAAGTGTTTTCTAAAACATAGAGCAATTTTACTCACGCATATATCCTGGAATTTAGACATGCGACTCTTGAATCTAGCTGATTCCAAATCTACTTGAGATATTATTGATGATTTGAGAGACAGGGGAAAAAACTGCCGCTCCAGGTCAGTTCTGACAAAGATTTGAAGCTTTCAAGAGGGAAATTCACAGTTAAAGTTCAAACATATATCCCAAGAGAGGTTAATTGTGCTGCTGATTGTCTTGCGATGGATTGCCTTAGTTCAAAAGGTGCCTTCCAATTTATAGATTGTGCCCCAAGACACATGAAGAACCTGCGTTGGATACATAAAGTAGCAAGAACATAATAAGTTAATCAAAGTTAATATAAGTGATAAGGTTCTCATCACTTAAACAAGTAGTTGAGGGTTCAAATTTTAACTATGATATATATAGCAATTTAATTAAAAAAAAGATCTATGATTTGCTTTCAATATTCCAGGGGAGATAATTTTTGCTCTCGTTGAACTATTAAGAGAAGTATTGGTTAATCCTAAATTAGTTATTGGATGTCGTATCTCAGTTATCAATATCGTTGTATCATTTTCTTTGGATTACCGAACATGATGTTGAGTTAGCTTTATATGAACTTTGGGTTACCTATCTTTTTTATTTATAGAGGAGAAACTACCAACGTGGAATTTAATAATTTAAAGTAATTAACATCATTTGTTTTTTTTTTTCTTTAAACCAAAAATCTACAAAACATATGGCATCACTGCATAAGGTAGGATGCCATATATTACCCGTCAATTATGTATTTGATTATTAGCTGCATAAGGCAGTAATAATTAATTAATAGTACCGTCACATGTTGTATTTATCTATATTGTTACAAGTTATATAGTTATTTTGTCAGTAAAAGAATCAACGTGCTATAGTTATTAATAAATAAACCCAATACACACACATATAATATTCATTTTTTATTATATTTCTGAAATATTTGTTTAATACTCAAAATTTTATATAATATTTATTTCTCATGTATTAATTTATTATATATATATATATGTGTGCGCGCGCGCGCCCCAATAGCCATATTGTAAAATTTTAAAATTGGTAAACAGTTATTTGGCATTTAAATTATAAGTTCAGAAGCATATAGAATCATAAATTTATTTTTTTGTATAATGTTCCCCTCAATTTTTAAAAATGATGCAATGTATTCCATATTATTACCTAAAATTAACTTTGACTATTAATTAATTAGAAAATGATAGAAAAATAATAAAAATGACCAAAAAAATTACAGAAAATAACTTAAAAATCCTTTTCTGTAATTTTTGAAATCCTTTCTTATTATTTTCAAGTCAATTAACAGTTAAACTTAACTTTTTCTAACAATAGAAATTACATTGCATTGTTTTCAAAAATTAGGAGGAACATTATACAAAAAAAAAAAGTTTAGGATCTCAGACACTTTGCTAGGGGCAATCGAGCAACATCTCATAATAATCCAAAATTTCACAATATGTCATCTCACTGAGAACAATACTAATCAAAATAGATTCATAATTAAAACATTCAATTCATAAGTTCAAATCAAGTAATAAAAATACAAATGACTTATTGTTTTAATAAACTTTTAAAAACCTAAATGATATAAGCCTAGTTAATCTAGGATTCCAAATGGATAGAATATATCCTCAATGGATATATTGTATCCTTGTTTAAATTTTAAACAAAATAAACTAATTTTATTAAACTTAAATTCAAAATTAAAATAAGATAAATTAATTTTCTAAATTTAAAAAGAAGAAAATAACTAAACTAATTGGACTTATGAGCTTGAATATCTTGGGTTAAGCTCAATGTACTAAGAGTGGTTTTTTGATCATTTAGAACTCCATTTGCTTTTAAGACTTCTTAATTATTTATAACATCTCTAATTAATTAATTTGGTTTCTTTCACCTTCTTAACTTTGAATATAGCCATCGATCATCTAATGTCCCGTAACAGATCAAAATAACAAAATGTTGGATTTTAACTTGTCCCTTGATTTCTATCACACTCTAGATCTATATAGTTTAGGAATCAAATTGCTATTTAACTTTGAAAGAACTATTTCTTTATAAAATTATTCTATATGCTAAAAACAATTTAGGGCAGGAGGATATATATGGTGGCTGGCGGAAATGGCACATCTTCCAACATAATTGAGTTTGCCTTGACTTATATCATAAATCACCCAGAGGTGATGAATAGTGTTCGAGAAGAATTGCTATTTAATCTTTTTAAAATTTGTCCTCTTGTATCCTTTGTATGTGTATATATAATGTTTGGGATTTGGAGCACTTCACACACTCTTTCAGTGGTGTTTTTTCATACTCAATATCATTCGTCTGTTTTAGTTATTTATCTAGTTTAGTGATGCAAGATTATTAATTATATAATGACATTAAAATAAATATATTATTCATTATCATCATTTAAATACTTTTGAAAATAAGATCATAATGCTTCTTTATGGTAATTACTGAATAAATAATTTATTTATTTTAATGTCATAATTGGCAATCTTACACAATTAAACCGAATAAATAATTAAACAGATGGATGTGATTTAGCATGGAGGGACATATTGGCAGAGGGTATGGAAAGGATTCAAATTTCTAGAGTTATTGAAAGCAACGGAGAGATCTTTTCTAACTAAATTACATAAACAAGGACAATAATTTGAACTGCTAACCACTTATTTAAGTTACGGGAACATATACCCAGTCACACTAAGTTTAATTGATAATTTTTCATATGTTTTAAAATGAAAAAAAATGATTCTTGTTCGATTAAAAAAATTCATCAAAAGTCTATTTACTTTCGTGTTATTCATGTTTAGCTAAAAAATTACTATTCCTAGTATTCTATCTAATTTTTTTAAAAAATAAATTATCAAAATAACACAAATATTATATGTAATTGCACGTAAATATTATATGCCAGTAAATAATTCTATTTAATGTAAAATAATTTTGCATAATTAAATCCAACGGGAAAAAGACACTAAATAATTTGTATTTACATCTGAAATGTATAAGCGATTTATTATCTAAATTATCGAAACAAGTTAACATTGAAGTTATTATACCTAATACATATGAGATGAGCAGAGTTTAGCGAATTAATTAATTAGTTGAACAAGTTGAATGGAAGGAAATTAAATGGAGTATTAATTTAGTGAAACAATGATCCTAACGGCTAGTGAAAAATAATCCCTCAGAAATGAAACGGCTTGTAATTTTTTTTTTTTTTTCAGAACGGTAAGAATTTAAAAATTTTAGAGAAAAATGACGTAGGGGGGCGGGGAAAGGAACTTGTGAAACAATAACCCACTACTACGACTAGTATAAATTGCCGACTCATAGTTTAAACGGTTAGTAAAAATTGAAAGTTTTATAGGAAGGCGGAAGCAGCAGGTGTTTATAGCCGTTACATCCTCTATGGTTTCGATGAATCCTCAAGGGTCGTCCTCACTTGCATCCTTGCTGTTACGGGTGGTTTAATATTTGGTTGTGATCATGGTGTTTCCGGTAAATATCTCATCCCTTTTTGCTAATTTCTACTTCAATTTTACTTCACTTGGATGCTCGTTCCTTTTGTTCATCGATTTATTGAAATGAAACTAATATGAATTTCAAATCTCTGTTTTTAAGGCATCATCTGTTTGATGAAATGTCTGAATGAACAGTATTTCCCCAAAGTCTTTTCTTAATTTTTGCTTCATACACTCGTGTTGAAGATATGAGGTTATTTGAATTCTGGTGTGTCGCCGGAGGAATGAGATTTCTGATGTGGGGTCCTTTTGTTTTTTGTAGGTGGAGTTACGTCGGTGGATTCTTATGGAAGTGACATTAACGAGCGACAGGAACAGTAAAGGGGTATCTGATATTTGTTTCTTTACCATTTCGGTTTTCGAAGTTCAATCATTAAAGTTTCCTGTTTCTTCCGATGTTTCTAATCGTAGTTCCCGTTGATTGCTTGTCTCTTCCGTTTTTTTTTTTTTTCTGTTGAATTTTTCTAAAAAGGACATTTGTTTGTTTGGTGGGAATCAACAAAAGTATGTCCGCTAAAGGACACGAAGAATGTCATGACCCTTAGTTCAATCCTACATGCTAGAAGACAGGTATTTCCTTTCCTATCCTTCCAATGTCCGATACATTTGCCCATAGAGAACTGCGCTATGTTTTTATAACCCAGTTATTTTAATTACATTACATGGTGGCCTTTGTGCTTTGATATGGTAAGATTGATTGTATCGTCAAGAAAAAGCTAATAATTATTCCAAGGAGAATTAGAACGAAGCATGTTATTCCAACTTTTTTTTCTGGCATTGAAGCAATTTATTTTTGGTCAATTGATATGCACAATTATTTTGGTTTATATTGAGAAAGGAATGCAGCAAATGAACAATCACACTTGTGGATGAAGTGGCACATGTTTAGAGAATAAACAAAATTTGTGTGTTTTGCTTAGCAAATATTATGCTTTTGCGAACACTTGGTGCAGCCAAGTAAGTTGATTAACTGCAAAGAAATTGTAGGTGAATTATGTGGTGCAAATTCATAAGGTAATTCCATGAAATTTGACCTTAAACTTTCTGAAAATGATTCACTAGATGTTTGTTTTTATGTAGTTTTGATATGTGTGGATTATTTTATGGTTCATGAATTGTGAAGTTTGATGCCAAATTTAGCTAGGTATTGGGTTGTTTTTGAAATATATTTTTAAAGAAATATTGTAGGCTGTTTTCATGTATATTCATTGATTGTTGATGCCAAAAAGCATGGTGGAAGAATGAAATTAATTGGGTTTGTGGTGGGGAGAAAGGAAAAAAAAAAATATATTAAATTTTATGTTTTGGTCCTGATTTTTGAATTTGTTAGTTCTTGGTGACAACCATAACTGAAATGACGAAATCTGTTGTTGAATTGATGCTGTTTTTTATGTCAAATTGATGTGGGTGTTGTATTAATTTCACGGTGGAAGTATGGTTTGCCATCAATGGGGGAGTATTAAAAAATATGGAACGAAACATGATGTTATTTTCTATACTTGTGTCCTCTATTATTGTTTGCAATAAGAGTAATTTTCTCTATTTTTCCTTAAAGTTTAAATAATTGTGTTCTTTTTTCAAGCTGTTGTAGACATGGTTTCTACTTGAAAATCTATCTTCATTTTTCTATTGTTAGATCATTCCTTTGACAGGCTCTCTAGTCAAATTGACATTATTACTTGGGATAGAAAAAAGAAGGTAAGATTTTCTTCATATTGAGTTTCTTTTAGTAAAACCTTTACTCCTACTTTCATTCTTGCTCTTGCCCTCTATTTGTTGCCCTCTGTGATTGTTTGTCCTTCATGTTTAAATCATTGTGTTATCTATATCAAGTGACGTAGATATAGATTTTTTTCTTCTCGTTCTCTCCTTGTACTTTTGTTGCTGCTTAGGTGTAGATATTAAATGGTTTGTAATAAAAGCTTGACTTTTAGTCATTTTCTTTGTGATACTAGAAAATAATACATTCATTCTTAGCTGTGGCCCTTATTTTTAAAAAGCAACCGTTTTTTTCATGTTTTTTTTAATACATTTGCATAAGGAAATGCTTATAGGCTTGAATGTAAACAACACACACACGCCCCCCTTTAAAGTGGGACAAAAAATATGGGCCAAAATATGTTTATTATTTTCTCTAGTTGTATGGTGAATTCTTTGATGCGAGACAAATAATATGGAGGATAAATGTGGAAGAGGGAGGATGAGAAGAACTTCTCTCCAACTTAAGGTTAGTTATTCAAAATTAACAAAATAAGTAATATTTTGTTTGTTATCATTTCTTTTTTGGTTAGATCTTCCTGTGATGGTCTCTCCAATCCAAGCCATCAATATTGCTTGCGATCAAAAAAAGAAGGTAAGCTTCTCTCCATATTAAGTTTTTTTTTAATAAAAGCTTTACTCCTACCTTCCCCTTTTTGATAGTTTGTACTAAGAGTTATTTTCTCATTTTGTTTAGCCTTTATGTTTAAGTGAACATGTTTTCTATATTGGCTGATGTAGATATGGTTTCTTCTTCTCCTTGTTCTCTACTTTCACTTTTGTTGCCTCTTAGCAATAGAGATTGAAAGGTTGGTTTGTAATAAAAGTTTGACCTTTGTCATTTTTTTGTCAAACTAGAAAATAGTCTGGCCATTTCCTTTGGCTGGCTATCGAACTCAATAAGAGAGATTTTTTCTTGTCTAGCCATTTACATGTGAATTGACGGTGATTATAAATGTATTCTTTTAGAAGAAATTATTTTCAAAAATTGGCTCACTATTAGGTTGCCTCATCAAATTTATTTTTTTAAGTTGGACACTTTTTTGTTATGGCTATTTCTAGATAGTGAATGTTACCATTTTTATTGCAATTGTTTATTTGAATTATTCTTTTATTTTCTCTTAAGTTCTTGAAAATTTTTGGTGCCCTTAGAGAAAGAGAATTTGTAGTTGCCTTTCCCTTAAGGCTTTGTCATTACTTGTTTGTTATATAATAATCATTTTCATATTGTGTTTGGTATTTTTATACTAAGATTTCTACTAGTTTGCTATGATTGTTGTGATGTTTGTGGTTGTCAGATTGTAATTGATCTTTCATTTGCTATAAGGTTCCATTTGAAAGTTTAGACGCGTTGGTTGGGATGGATTTGTGGTTGTATGAATTGATTGTGATTGTGACTTTTCTTAGTTTTATTTTTTTACATAACTTATTTTATGTTATAGTTTCTAATTTTATGTTATAGTTGTTACCAAATTAGAGTTCTTGCTTATTGTGATTACTCTTTCTTTTTTAACATTTCACTCGAAAATCTTGGATGCCTTTATAGGGGATTGATTTCATGATTGCATTCCCTGTCAAGGTTTTACTAGTTGTCTTTTACTTGCTTGTTGTAAACATTATGGTTTTCATGTCATATTTACTTTTATGGATTGTGATCGTTGCTTGATTGTTATTTTATTTTTTTTAATTGTGATTACTCTTTTGCTTGCTTTCTGCTTGAAAGTTCAGGTGCCATTACCAAGTTGCCTTCGTTCTTAGATTTTACCTATTCATTGCATAACATTTGATTTTGCTTCCTAATATGAGGATATGAATTGGAAGCTGTTCAAATTTCAATATAAATTTGATTATTTTATATGCTTTACTTGTTGTAATTTCTGTTAGATGTTGTGGCTTCTATTTTTGGATTGTAATTGTTATCAGATTGTTGTGCTTGTTTATTGTGATTATATTACTCTCTTTTTTTATTGCATTTGGCTTGAAATTCTTAGATGCCTTCATAGATGAGAAATTTTTTGGTTTCTTGTGCCTTCAAGGTTGTCTCCTTTGTCATTTAATTGTTTGTGTTTAATAATATGTTTTTCATATTGTGTTGTTTCTTGATTGTGAATGTTATTGGATTTTGTATTTGTTTATTGTGATAACTCTTTTGCTTGCCTTCTTGTTGAAAGTTTTGGTGCAATCAACGAGGAGGGCTTTTGCAATCCCCCTCAAAATGGATTACTTACAAAGTTTCCTACTTCTTGTTTCTTTTATTTTGGTTGTTCGTTGTATAATATATTTATTTTGCTTTCACTTTCTAACAAATAATATGACCTTATTTCTCTAAGGATGATGATCTGATTAGGTCTAATTAGGTGATATGCCTGATTTGCTATTAAAAATAATTTCATCATGCATTATGAAAGTGCAAGTGTATAACATGTATTGTCTGGCATGAGGAATATGAATTTTATCATGAGGTTAGGTTATGTTACTCTTAACAATTTGTGAAGAAAATTTGCATATTAAACTACACTAAAGTCTCTCTCAATAGAGACTGCACTAGCATAGCTCATTTTCAGGAAATCTATATAACATGCAGGCCCTTACTAGAGCACATATCTTGAGCATCTAGAGTATGTAAATCAACCTTTATTTCCATATTGTAATAGAAAATAGATTTTTTTTTTCAAATAATTCTAGATCACAATAGAACTAAATGGCATGCTAATTTAATGTAGTATAATTTATTAACTTTCATCAACGTTGCTTATATGAATACTCATTTATAGGAGCAAGGTTTATTGGTAAAACCTTTAGCATTAGAAATTGTGGCATGAAACATCACAAAGGTTTGGTATTGCATACGATTGATTTATTAATTGTTGTTATCTAGAAGTTATCCATAGAATTTTTTATGATTATATATTGCATATTTTTTAATTATTTCAACTATACTTTTCTTTGCATATTCAATGCTAGTTTGTAATAGTCACATTCTTGGATAATTTTGACTAATGTTGTTGAAAGATTTGTAATGAAAGCTTTACCTTTAAATATTTGCCTTTATACTTAAAATATTACAAGAAAATAGTGCAGCTATTTTTTAGCCCTAGTCCTTGTTTTAAATCACACATCTTCTGCCTTATTTTATGATTTTTTATATTTGCATTGGTAATGTTGCGGGGCTTGAATCAATGCATACCTTTGATGTGGGATTGAAAATATGGAACAAAAAATATTTTATTATTTTTTACAGATGTGTGGTGAATTCTTTGATGCGGGACAAAAATGTGAAGGATAATAAAGGAAGGGGGAGGATGAGAAGAACTTTGAGATGATTCAAAATCAACCAAAAAAAAAAAGTAAGCATCTATCCTTCTTCGATTTCGTTTTGTTGTTAGATATTTTCTTTGATTGGTTATCCAATTCAAATTGCCAATATTGCTTGTGATAAAAAAAGAAGTTAAACATCTTCCATATTGAGTTTCTTTTTCAAAAAAATATTTTCTCCTACTTGTCTTCCAATTTGCTCTTCCTCTTATCTTTATTTCCCCTACTTTGTGATAGCTTGCACTAAGTGTAATATTATATTCTTTGTCCACTATGTTTAGATAATTGTGTTCTTTGTAAGAGGTGTGACGTATATATGGTTTATTCTACTTCTTCCCTCCATATACTTTTGTATCTATTTAGTTGTAGCTATGTGTTTGGTTATTAAAAGTTGAGATGTACCTTATTGAGGAAGCACTAAAATTGATATATGAAATTTGTAAGTAGGATGACAAATGGATGAGCTTCTCTTCATTTTCAGCAATTCAAAATAAGCAAAATTGATAAGCGATTGTCCACCTTACTTTTTTCTTTTAAATCTTTCCATTGGCCATTTATCTAACTTAAGGGGAGGAGTTTTGTTGTTGGTCTTCCCCTCTGCCACCATGCAAATTGATGGTGATTATGAATGTATTCTTTAATGAAAATTATTTTTTCAAAAATTGCTACTATGATTGTTTATTACTTGTTTGTTATGTAACAATCATTTTCAACATGCGTATGCTATTTTTGTGCTAAGATTTCTACTTGATTTTTATAATTGTTGTGATGTTTGTGGTTGTTAGATTGTAATTGATCTTTTGTTTGCAATAAGGTTTTGTTTAAAAGTTTAGATGTTTTGATTGGGAAGGGATTTTGTGATTGTATGAATTGATTGTGATTGTGAATTTTCTTAATTTAAATAGGTTTTTTTTTTTCTTTTTCTATATTATGGTTGTTATCGAATTACAGTTCTTATTTATTGTTGTTACTCTTTTCTTTTCTAACAATTCACTCAAAAATCTTAGAGGATTCATAGGGGACAGATTTTTTAGGTTGTCTCCCCAATCAAGGTTTTATTCGTTATCTTTTACTTGTTTTAAACATTGTGGTTTTTGTGTCGCATTTTTTTTTTGGATTGTGATTGTTACTGAATTTTTTTTGTGTGATTACTCTTTTGCTTGCTCTTTTAATTGAAAGTTCAGGTGCCATTAATAGTAAGGAATTCTTTTGGTTCCCCCTTAAAATTAATCAATTACCAAGTTACCATCATTCTTTGAGTTTAGTTATTTGTTGCATAATGTATTTGTTTTTGTTTCCTGACAAACTAGTAGGACTTAAGTACTGAAAGGATGAGGATATTAAATTTGAAAGTTGTTGGAGATTTGAATAGATTTGGCTTGTTTATGTTCTTTCCTGCTGTGATTTCTATTAGATATTATGGTTTTTATTTCTAGATTGTGGTTACTCTTTTATTTTCTATTACATTTAGGTTGAAATGCTTGGATGCTTTCCTGGATGAAAAATTTCTTGGTTTCCAATTTCTATTAAATTCTTGGTTACTCTTTGAGGTTGCAATCTTTGTCTTTTAATTATTTGTGTTCAACAATATGTTTTTCATGTTGTGTTTATTATTTTTGGATTGTGCCTGTTACCGAATTCTTGTTACTAGATGCTTTTAATTTCCTTCCTCTTTTTATTGCATTCTTGTCAAAAGTTTGGGTGCATTTAATGTGTAGGGTTTTTTGAGTTTTCTCCTTGAAATTGGATTAGTTACTAAGTTGCTTTCCTCTTAATTCTTTTTGCTTTTAGTTGTTTGTTGTATACCATATTTGTTTTTGCTTTCTAACAAATAGTAGGACCCTACTCCTCTAATTTGAAAGGTGGTAGAAATTTTAATAGGTTAATTAGGTTATGTGCCTGATTTGCTATACAAAATAATTTTACCGTGTATGATGAAAGTGCATGTGTATAACATATATTGTTTATGCTTGAGTAATATGATTTTAACATGAAGTTAGGTATACTACTTTTGATGATTTGTGAAGAAAATTTGCTTATTGAACTACAAAAGTCTCTCACAATAGAGAGACAACATGAGCTTAAAGCTCATTTTCAAGAAATGTATATATAACATGCAAGCCTTGGTAGAGCACACATCTTGAGCATCTATAGTTTATAAATCAACCTTTATTGTAAGTTTCTATCCACCTTTAATTTTCTTATTATTAGATCTCAATTGACTGGCTTTCTAATTCAAATTGCCAATATTGCTTGCAATAAAAAAAAGAAGGTAAGTTT